GCCTGGGCAAAACAATTTTGTATTTTGTTGTCCAGTTCCCAGTGGAGAAATGCCTGTCTCATGTGGAATCGTATTTATTGGTGCACTGACTTTGTGTTTTATGTGTTTTATGCAGGGTCAGTAGCAAGGGAAAATCTGCCTGAAGATGAATTGTCATTATTACAGTGGGGCCCTGAATTCATGAGCCAGCCAGCACAGAACCCAGGTAAGTGCAGCAACAGATGGATCTCTGGAAACCATTTTCAAAGATGTGCTAGCTCTTTGTAAAAATGCATGATGATCAAAGTCTTCTATTAAACCAATATCTTATTGAACCTTTTTTTTTTTTGTCTGTTGTATTTCCTTATTACATTTAAAGTAGAATACAGAACCTGCCAAGGCTGCATACGTCAACAGTTCCTAGGAAACTGAACTTAAGCACGTGTTTCAGAACATGAACTGACTCCGTGCGCAGATGTGGAGCACTGAGGCTCAGTGCACCTAATCAACTTTCTGTCCTCCATATGGTAGCAGTTCACAGTAGCATGGTGTGGATCAGCTTGGGTGACCCTCAAAAGCCTGGAGCAGAAGAGCTGCCTTGTTCCTCCTAAAACAACTCATTCCTTATTTTCAAAACTGTTGGGAGTTGCAGATGCTTGGACCTCTGGAATTCAGGGTGCTGTTGTTCGCTGTCTGTCCCTATAATGATGTTCTGTGAGTGTAAACATCTATAGGTGTAACTGGGTGCAAGAACTTGGGGCTGTCACTGTAGGTGCAAAGAGCAGAGCCCAAAGAGCAAAGTATCTTGCACATCCTTTATTAAGATCTGAACGCTGGATAAAGATCCTGGCATTTGCATTATGCAGTCTAATGCAGTATCATTAGTGAATAAAACACGGTTGTTCACGAACAGCTGACAGACGAGGCACTTCTTTTATATAGAAGCCAAAATTGAAGATGTTGCAAGAACAGTTTAGGTAGGATTGATTTCATCCAAATAGTGCAGGGTGGAGTGAAAGTACAGTGGTATTATTTTATTATAACTCTTCTGTAATATATCTGTAAGCACTCAACAGTCTTTCTCCCAGAGCCCACAGGCTGGGCCTGATAATGTACTTGGATTGATTCAGCACAGGCTTCTAAGTTTTGGGGCTTTCATGACACGGGATTTTTGTAAAAGAGGCACCTGGAATGTCCATGAATATTCATGATTATTTCAGTTATAACTGTCAAGTACAAACTAAGGGCCCTACTATATGACATGCTAAGAACCTTTAGTTTCTACTGACATTTGAAAATAATGTTTAGCATTTTTTACTTTTGCTTCCAGAAATAGAGTGCTTTGTTTTAACCATTCCGTTTTCTTGCTCATCTTATTACTGGAAAAAAAAATACTTTAGACCAAATAATTGAAATAACTCAATTGGCTTAGTTTATCAAAAAAAAAAGATTTGCAAGTTCTTTGCTTAGAATATGTAAGTATCTTCATTGAGAGTAAATAAAACTGAAGGACACTCTTAATTAAAGCAATAAAATCGTAGTAATAGCTACCTGGAAATCACATCCTGAGCAGTTCCAATAGAAATAGGTTTCTGTTTTCAAACAGCTAAGGCTACTAATTGTTGCAGCTACACATGGAAGTCAAGAATTTAGAATTGCTCGAAGTCTCAAGTACTGAATGTCTAGAAGATATGGATGTTATGGGATTTAAAAAAAGAGATACCTTTAATTTAGATGCTGAAGTTTTAGATAACTAAACTTAATTTAGTTGTTTCTAAGAATGAGACTTCCTGAGATTTTACTGGTTGATAGTATCTTGGTCATATGTATACTAAGTAAAAGTTATGATCAGAATGTGACCATACTTTTGGTATTTGTATATATGTGACCATCATGTGACCAAGAACCATACTTTTGGTATTTCTTGCTATAAAATGATTAGAGTTAGGGTGAAGAAAGGAAATTCTGTCATAAAGTGAAAAAAAAAATGAAAATCAAGCCTTTTTTGGTGATATCCTCTGACATTATATAAATGTTGTTGCTTATGTTTTATATGATCATTTATCAAAGCAAATAATCAGTGTTATCAAGTCATGTGGCTCACGGGAGTACAGATAGTGCACACAGTAACAAGTGACAACTTTAATCAAAGAACTAATACAGAAAAAAAATATTGCTGTTATCAAGCATCACTGATTTGGGACCAGAAGAATTTGGGGAGTTTATGAAATTGGAGATCTCTCTTTTTCATATCTTCCATTCTTGTGGCTGTAGAACTTGCTTGGAGGACTTCAATTTTCAATGGAGAGTGGAGTGAAAAGTGGTGCCGAGATCTCTTCTGCTTTCCTAACTCTACAGAGTGCAGAATCTCTTACCTTTTGCAACCTTTTTTTCTCTCTCAGTTCTTTGCTAAGACATTTTTGCCCAGGGATTTGAGAGGGAGCAGCACAGGACACAGCAGAACACAAGACTAGTGTGACACATCATGATGTGGGTATCTCCGTGTTGGTCTCTTTTGACATTGAGTTGTGTCTCTAAAACTATCTGTATCTCCTGTGAAGAGAACATGCAAGGGTTGAAAAGCGGCAGTGCGGTTCACAGCATCTGATTTCAAATCCTTGTGATTTTCACCTGGATGAACTGTTAGGTGTAACTGAGCGTGCCCTGCGGCTTCATCACTAAGCACCCGAGTGAAGTCTGGATCTTTGAGCTGAATGGCATTTTCTTTGCTCTTGGAAGCAGGGCAGAGGAAAGGAGAACTTCTATAGCTCACATTTCTGACTGAAAAAATCAACATAAACTATAATTATTTAAAGTACTAATATATGTAACACTTGCATTTTCATACCTTATGTTACCTGTGATATTTTATACCCTCCAGCAGGTGCTGCTGCATCCTGCTAATGTTTTCTTTGAGGGAAAAAAAAAATCCAAGCAGTCATTTAATTTAACACTATGCAACTGTACTTTGCTCTTGGTTTGCTCTGAAGGAGTCATGAGTGGGTCAGTATTATTTTCTACCTTAAGTGATTTGCCAGCAGAGTGACTAGGAAAGGAATTTTTACAATGTCAGAATATGAATCCTGCCATGTATGCAAGTTTTTAAGGTCAGTGGCAGTTGCTTATCAAGGCCGTGCTCAAAGTTGAACTGATACAGATGGAAATGCATTTGTATTTCTACAAAATAAGAAAAAATGCAAGTGTTTTCTTAAAGTAGAAATGTTTCCTGAAAATTTAAAGTTATGAAAGTTTCTAATAAGCTCCTCTGTTTTCCCAGTTCCTTAAACTTTGTGTCTCTTCAGTGTAGTAGACTCTGTGTACTGAAAAAAGCACAGAAACTTGTATATCTATGAACTGAGACAAAGGGACAAGGCCATTTTTTGGGAGGCAGCATTTTCCAACCTCTGAGGTATATGTGGAAAAGCTGCTTCAACCTCAAAAATTCTTGCAGTTGTTATTAAAATAAAGGCTCATTTTCATTTGTCTTTCTCTGACTCATGACTTGAGTTTTGGAAGCTAAGGGTAAATTAGTGGTAGTTGGAGGCCCCCTGTTGAATGGGAGATTCAGATAAGAGAGGATCTCCATTTTTCCATAAAATTTCTCTCTCCTGGGCCATGCAGAGTTGTGCCTACTCTATGCGAGGGAATGTCTGCAGGCCTCTAAGTGACAAAAGCTCTTTTAAAGCTTGTCACTTGCCATACGATTATATAGAAGCTTCCCACAGTGTTGCTCTGTGCAGTCGTTTGCTCTGGATTGCCCCTCTTTATATCACGTAATTTCATGAAATCCTTTATCTCAAGTTTCACTCTGTCCGTTATCTGGCACTTTCATATTCTTAGAGAAGGAAACTAAGTTTCTCCAGAAGAGTCTTCTCAGGCGTTCAGGTTTCTACTGGGAGCTGTGCAGAAAGGGAGTGCCATAAAATCCCAGGTTAGGCAATAGTCAGTTTTATAACAGATTTTTGTCGCCAATACCACTAAATCTGTGATATTGATTTTGAATGCTGGAAGTCTGTAAGTCGGGTCATATACTGCACTCTTCAAAATCTTTTGCTTAGCATCTCCATTTTAAGAATTGTGCCTGGCTTATATCTGCAAAATGTGAAGAGTAAATGTTCTGTTTGCTGATGTATCATATGTGCTGAGCAAGATTGTGTGGGCCATAATACTTGAAATTAGGTCTCAGCTATATATCTTTGAAGTCCTGTTTTAGTGAGTTAGTCTGGAAAGTTTATAAGGGTTTTAAATGAACCCTCACCTTAGCATGATAAGTCAAATATTCTTTTGGCTCAAAAATGAGAGGTTAAGCCTAGTTAAAATTTAAGCAGTTCAGTAATAATCTGCATAAAGCAGGTGCTGTAAACATAGACAAAGGTCTTCAATCAGTAGGAGCTGAAGTTCTCATAATTTTCCTAGATTCAGAACGAGATCTTCAACATGTTTCATCTCCTTTGATTTCAGAGGCTCTGGAGTGCATGTCTCTTTTTAGAGGGCAGTTCGTTTTATCCCAAACCTTATGGTATTTGTCTCCTTCAGATTCTTTACAGATTATCCTGTCTCTATTCATTTATTAGTGAAAAGGAACTACATTGATAAGAGGGCTAACCCTTAGATTTCTGACGTCAAGCCAAATCAACCCACCTCCAGAAACTTGGGTATATCTCTTATAATATAAAGATATATAACCTCTACTTGAATATGTCGTCAATATATTAATTGTAAGTATATGTAAACACTTACTCAGTGTTTTTCTTTCTTTTTTTTTTCCCTATATACCGAGGCATCTCATAAGACTTTTTACAGTTTTGGTCATACTTCATAGATAGGGGGATGAAGTGACTGATTCAAGGTCTTGAAATGAACCAGTGGTGATACTGAAAAGAGTGCAAGTTTGATATTTTTTTCTAATGGATATACCACTTTTATATTTTTTTTTATTTGTCTTTTTGGGGTGGAGAGGAACCTCAGAAAAGTTCAATAAAGGCAAGTGTGGGGTCGTGCTCCTAGGAAGGAATTGTGCCATGCAGCAGGACAGGTTTGGGGTTGACCTGCTGGGAAGCAGCTATGTGGAGAAGGGAGTCTTGGTGGACACCAAGTTAATCACGAGCCAGTGGTTTGCCCTTGTGGCCAACAGGGCCAATGGTAGCCTGGGGGCAGAGTGTTGCCAGCTGGTCGAGGGAGGGGATCCTCCCCCTGTACTCCGTCCTGTGCTTTGCCCAGTGCTGGGCTCCACAGCACAAGAGAGACATGAAACTACTGAAGAGAGTCCAGTGTAGGGCTATGAAGATGATTAGGGGGCTGCAGCATCTCTCAGCTTAAAGGCTGGGCCTATTAAGCCTTCAGAAGAGAAGACTTAGAGGGGATCTTACCAGTGTACCCACATACCTTATGGGTGGATGTCAAGAGACCATTTTCACTAGTGCCCAGAATTAGGGCAAGAGACAACTGCCACAAACTGAAACACAAGCAATTCAGTCTGAATCTGAGGAAAAACTTCCCGACTGTGAGAGTGACAGAGCACTGGAACAGATATCCCAGAGAGCTTGTGGGGTCTTCTTCTCTGGAGGTGTTAAAAAGCCTCCTTACCATGATCCTCTGCAACATGCTGCTGGTGACCCTGCTTGAGCAAGGGAGTAGGACTAGATGATCTACAGAGGTCTCTTCCAACCTCAACCATTCTGAGGTTCTGAATTTTTTATAAATGACCATTCATTGATTGGTAAGGAACCACTGAAACACTGCAGGTTGTTTGTTGATGAGACGATTTTGCCTTTCTTTTTCTTGAAGTGTGTTGTGAAAATGAATATAATGAAGTCTACATTTCCACCTTTATATAAAAAACATACTCAAAATTTCCTGTGAAATTATATATATATATATTTACTGCAACTTTCTAGTGTTGATAGGTGTTTCAGCCATTTTTCACTATATTTGGCCAGGATATATCTGGAAGAACAAAAAATGATTGTAGATCCTAAGGTAAAGTTAGCAGTAGTCTGATCTAGAAAGGGGTTAAAAGTGAGACAGCCTCTCTCTTATTTCAGCGGAAGTATAGTTGTTGATTTAAAGGTCTGTAAATGATTGTTGGAGACCTGTCATGTGTAGCAGTGCACTGAAAAAGCATACCACAAATTCTGCTTCCTCCTAGACAGAGTTTATCTGTCAACATCCTACTTTAATTGCAATCTTTTAGGGTATCAGAAGGCAGGCAAAACTCACCAGCCAGCAATCATGGAAAGCAAGGACTTTACAAATATTGATCAAAATGCTAACACCAATATCTGTGACATTCCAGAGTCTGAGGAGGACAAAGAGGATCTCCTTAACGGTCATGTCCGTGAAGATTTAGCATCTCCTTCTTCCACAACTACCAATGCAGAGAGCATGGACTTAGGTCAAGAGACCCCAGAAAACAGTCGCAGTAATTCTGTGGCCTCTCAGCATGGGCTCGATGGGGAGGATGGCTCTTCTTCATCTCACCATGGTGCTGAAGACTACCAATACCAGGAGGCAATGGATCTGATGAGCCCAACTCAGGAAGATAAACATGTAGGAGGCAGGATGTTTGAGAACGGCATGCTTTCTCCTACAAGCTTCCACATGACCTCTCAGCATGGGGTTGAGGAGGAGGATGGTTCTTCTTCATCTCACCATGGTGCTGAAGACTATCAATACCAGGAGGAGATGGATCTGATGAGCCCAAGTCAGGAAGATAACCGTGTAAGGGGAAGGATGTTTGAGAATAGCATGCTTTCACCTACAGGTTTCCAGTTGCGTCGCAGCCAGAGCACTTCTTCCAACTCCCCGACTTCCATCAAGTTCCCCCTGAACAATAATTTGGGAGAAACAGACAACTTTCAGGAGGACTATGAGATACATATGTTTGTAAAGGTAAGAACTTGTGTGCTTCTATGTATAGACTAGTTTTAAACCCCAAGTAAACCTGTTTGTCCTCCAGACTTGCAAAGCATAGCTGCTCTGGGTGAAGATTTGTTCCCATCTTTGCTGCCTGCACTACTTCTGCAGTAGACTAAACTGATCACTTAACCCTTGTGCGTCTTAAGGCACAAAGGGAGAGGGCTGTGTAGCCCGGGATTTTTTTTTTTAATTCAACTGGAAGCACACTGGAAGTATGCTAGTTATTGCTGCAACTCATTTATTTTGTAAAATTACCTTGCTGCTACAGGTGCACTACTTCTGCTAACTGAACTGGCTTAGTTACAGCTAGTTTAAGTATCTCTCTGTTTCACTTACTATCTAGGTCAAGCAAGACATAAATTCCTGAGAAAGTGTTTCACACTTGCTCTAACTTGAAAAAGTTGGAGAGAGGTTGAGTTCCTAAACCATAAAACACCTGTATTCTTAAATAAACATCATGCCTCTCTTCATAAAATTCTTGTATTCAATCATTCCCAATATTTTTAAAGATGTAAGATGAACTTGACAGTTCCTCCTTTTCAAGTACAAAAGATAACATTTTTCAAGTTTTTGTCTCTCACAAGTAAGACCTTGCACCATAAGTACTCTGATCTCAGCAGAGGTGTTGTGCAGTCTGCCACTTTTCAATACAAATAAGATTACCAGAATCTGTTCCTCAGTTCCATAGATTTTTTGACTGCAGAATAAGACATTTTCTTACTACATATAGCAGGAAGCGTGTTCAGCAAAATCTGCATTGTGTGAATAAGTTTATTTGAGCAACAACCCACTAAAATCTTTGCACTGATGCTGATTATCTTGTATGAGTTAAGTCAGAAAAAATGCTTGATGGACTATTCTAACTTCATTTAGTTTCTGTAGTAAATCAGAAAACTGAGTTAAGTAAAAATGTTTACTTATTCCACTCCACTATCCACATTTCACACAATTTCACATTTCACACAATTTTCCACAATTCTTTTCAATATATATTATCAAAATTATGATTTGAATATTTCCTGTAGATGAAAAGTTAATGATATTCCTCCTTCATTTATCCCTTCTCTATATGTGACAATACTTTGTCATTGTGTGGTAATTTTTGCACAAATATATTTACATTTAGATTACTGATAGTTTTTTAAAAAAAACACACACACAAATAATGACCATTAGATCACATTGCATATACAAATCAAAAACTTCACTTGTTTATCTTAATTTTTATAAAAATACTGCAAATCTTCTAAAAGGGGGGTACCCTGCAAGAGCGTATTCACTAATTACTTGGTAATGAATTATTCTCAGTCCATGGTTGTTACCACAGAGGGTTTTTGCTACTAATTTCTGTAGAACTGAGCTACAGTTAAAGGTTGTTGCAGTTGAATATGCATTGTTTATTGGCAGCTTCACAGCATTAGTTACTCAAAGGTTGTACTTTGAAATCATTCCTCATTCTTATTAATCACATTTATTCCTCTTGCTTTTGTTTCAAGATAATTGTGTTCTCTCTTTCTGTGCATGAGAATGAGCAAAATACATGCAGCCAGAGATGTTGTGATTAATTTACACTCTGGAAACTGAGGAGAGGGGCAACTTGAAAAGAGTTTGGCTCTAAAAAAGATTGAGGAAGTTATTTTCCTTGCTTTTGTTGTGCAGAAGAAGCTGAGTGACAGAGAAGCTTATCAGCTAGTCTAGAGAAGGCCACATACTTTGGACCCTATTCATGCTTAGTCCCATTTGCAGTTAAGATCCAAGATGTCCCTCCATGACTGGGGGATAAGACATGAGCTTTTCACGTGATCCATACCCCTTATCTTCCTCCAGCAGGAGCTGGAGGCCAGGTGGGCTAGGCAAGGACTTCCTAACACCCAGGCACTTCTATATGGGTGACTGAACAAAATCTTTGTGGCTGTTTTAGTTTTGGAGAGACTGAGAGATTTCTGGGCTCTTGTTTTAGTATGTTTATTTTTTCTTTCGTTGTTATTAGTATGAAAGCAATAAAGCATTAACGCCATGGAGTGCAGAGCCAGATTTGCTATCTTTAATTATCTACAGAGCAAAAGTCAGCCTATAAAACAGAAGGTATTAGAGTAATATATAACAAGGATTGTGAAATAAAAGGTGACTTCTTTGTGACTGCATTCCTTCCTTTCCTTTGGATCTTGTCTTTGGCTTTCCCTGCCCGTTCTTCATTCCCATGCCTGCTTTCTGGCTGTGCAGCCTGTACTTGTTCCTCAGAGGTAGCGTCATGTTTCATGTCACGGAGTGTCATGTTATGGAGGAATGATTTGCAGTTGTGACCATCCTCTGCTGGGTCTGCTCTCTTTTGCAGACATGAACAATGACAGCAGGACCTTTTGTTGTGCACAGTGGTCGTGTTGACCACGGCCTACACCTTCCTTTGGTTTTAGTGCTAATAAGTCTCTGTGAGTAGCTGGAAATATCAGTGTCTGACAGAGATGGCTGCTGGTTGGAAGGCAGAAGAAAGTGGGAAGTCAAAATGGCAGCTAACTTGCAGTGTAGTTGTCTAGTTGCAACCCATTGCCTAGAAGAGAAACTTAACTCTGCTACTCCAGTAATACTTGTAAGTGCTATGGCCCTGGGACCACAGTTTCACTCAAACTGGATGAACTTTTATGCAGCTCATTCTTTTTTATTAGGCACCAAGAAAATATTTAAATCATGTAAACTTATCTTTCACTGAATCTCAGTGCTCTGTAGTTAGGTCATCATCAATGGACTACTTCTGGAGGTACCTAAAGAATTTTGGCTATTTAACAAAGAATTCACTGTACCTTTAAGCGTAGAATATAGCAGGCACCAACATGGAAACATTTGTGTGAATCCAACCTGCCCAGGCTTGTCATAAGCACCGTAATGTCCACTTACATTGTACTTTCTTCAAACAAAAGCCTTTGAAACTGAACAGAAAATGACCAATACACAGCTGTTACTTAGTGCACAGGGCAGCTTGACCTAGTTGCAACTCTTGCTCAGATGTCCAACTTTTTCACTTCTGTTTTATTGCCTTTTTTTAGTAGCATGTTTGTTCTGCAAGCTGAAATTTCCCTTCAGTCTTTGCTTTCCTAGACTAAACAAATTCAGTTCCTTCAGCCTTTTTCAACTTAAAGTCACAGTTTCTAGTCTTTGAATGGTCTGGGGAGGGGAGATGGACTTCTTCCAGCTTCGTCCAGTTTATCTATATGTTTCTTAAACTGACTTACAAATACAGGTAGGATATTTACCAATGCCAGTAAAAAATGTTATAGCAATTGCCTTTTCTATTCATTATCTGTCCAACTGTCTAGTTACAACACATCATTTTGGCATATTTGTTCATCCTTTAATACTTTGGTTTAGGATTACAATGTTCGTCTTTTAATCTTGATGTTTTCTCAGTAAATTTGTCAAATGTTTCAGTAATGATCTAGACCCTTCCCTGAAATGAGTATTTGCAAGCAGCTGTAATGCAATGGTGTTGTTGCACAGTTTATATCTACATAATGTTAAGAGCACTGGGTACCTCTTGGTGATATGATCTGATTCTGACCCCTTGTCATCGAAAACAGAATACTTCTGAAGACAGAGAATTATACTGGTGGAAATCCAGTGTAAAGGATGCTATTATCAAGAGCTGCTCTACTAACTCAGAAAACAGAGGCTGATCTGTAACAAACCTTCACTGTACTGTGTATATAATACAGCTTTATTGCTCTCTTATAGAGGCTATCATGAGTAAGAGACGGGTAATCTTTTAGGTCTTAAGATCTAAGCTTAGTAGCTATGTAACCCTTATGTCTGGGGAGGAAAATGGGGTGGTTAAGCCTCTTCATAGCTTGATCTGAATTTTTCTGTGTTTGTAGTTGAAAAGATCAGCAAATGGCAGTTCCACACATAGCACGCAGTTCTCAGTTCCCAGACTATCAGCCCTGACCAGAATGTGTGCTTCAGCAGCAGGGCTTAGCAGTTTGCTTCATTGGTTGGACACAAAGAGCAAAAGGTGCTGCTCCGGACCCCTGCTCAATATGTGCCTTGTTCAGGCACTTTTCCTGCCTCTGGAAAGGTGCATGAATCAATGAGCAGTTGACACTCCTGTGCCACCTTCAGCTTTTGGCTCCAGCAGTGACGAGGGCTTGGTATAGCCCAGTAACATAGCAACAGCCTGAGAATTCAGAGCTGTATTGTCTGGAAAATTGTTACTCCTCACTGATTGCAGTGAGAGCAAATACAATGCAAATATGTAGGTCATGCTAAGAGAAAACTGAAACAGGGATATAAATATATATATATTTTCTTTTCTTTGACTCTCTCTTTGATTCTTTGAAAATAACATTTTTACCACAGCTTGTTTTGTGCTTTTCTTTTGACAGATGCCAGTTTCTTTCATTAGGTTTTAGAGCAGAAAAGTAATTGGAGTTGTGGATTGATTACTTCCTGAATTGATTATTTTCTTGCTTATAGTGTCACTGACAACTTATCTGTGTGGCAATATTGACAGCTATTAAATGTTTTCTGTCCAATACAGAGAGATTGATATTAGTTTTAATTGGTAAAATACATAAAGGACAGCTCCACTGAAAATGATGTTTTACTAACACAAAGTAATAGGTAGCTCCTGCAGAGCAACTGGTAACAATATAAATTATTTTGGAATTCTGCATGAAAAAGATGCCGGAGAAGGCTGCATTCCCTCTCTGCTTTCTTGATTTGGCCCATCTGACTTAAGGCATCTCCAAACAGCATCTCTCCTGGGTATGCAGACTCCTGCAACAACAACAACAAAAATTAAAATAGTCGGTGCAATTGGGTGTTGAGTCAAGTGCAATTGGATGTTGAGTCATTAGACTAAGTGTAGGCATCTGCTATAGAATGAGTTCAGTTGTAATGAGTAGGGACCTAAGTGACCTATTCAGTGCTATTTTAGATGCCTTAAAGTTTTGCACTTGGCCTCCAGCTACTTCTTCAAGAGG